GTTTCTCTTTTTAATAATTGATATTGGTAGAACTTTCTGATAGTACTGTCAGTTGTCTTTTTTTTTGGAAAATAAGCAGAACGAGTTTTCGTCTCATCATTAAATCGGCATTTGCAGACATGTGAGCTAAAATCGCACGATCCGGAAGCTGATCTAAGCCCAAAAATGCTGCATGGCTTTCTCACATCGCTACTTTACTATCGTCGCACTCGAATGAATCCAGTTTGGAACACGCTGATTGTTGCTGGAATGCAGAAACAAAAAGAACAATTGGAACCGTTTATTGGTGTTATTACTGCAAGGTTCACTTTAATATGCTGTATAACAGCATTTTTCTGAGTATAACAGCATTTTTCTAAGTCAGCATGTTGTAGGCGCATTTCACTGAAATTGAATTATTATTGTTATTATTACTATTGTTGTTGTTATGTTATTATTATTGTTATTATTATTATCATTATCATCATCATCATCATCATCATTATCATTATTATTTCATATTGACAGTCTCCGCGATTTTGCCGAACAATGCCCTTACCCGTTAAGAAACTGATTTACAAATAAGCCTGCATATTCGTTTTTCCGTCGACAGAAAAAGTCTTTTTGTTCACCTCTACTTAATTATGTCCATGCAGTTTTTGACAGTACGCGGGACACTTTTTTTTCACCTTTTAGGGGTGTAGCATATCAAGCAAAAAGTGTTGCGACCGGTTTCGGTGCCATGCTGTTGAATCAGGTCATCGAAACAGAACAGCGCAAAGGAGATGGTAAACTCACCAAAGAACAGGTACCTTTAATAAGCCTCTTTTTTTTGGTTTGACGGAATTGTGGTACCGATACAGCAGAATTAATGATTGTGAAGTTGTATCAGGGAGTTTTCTGTGAGTTATAGAGTGTAAAACTTTAGGGAAAATTTCAACTGACTGCTGTTCTAGGCCGTGGAAATCATGCGCAAGAGCTTGGAGCTATCAATTTATCACGATTGTTTGGCTGACAACGAATTCGAGATCTCGACGATCGATAAAGATGGCGTGAAGCTAGGAAAACCAGAGGTTGCCCTCTCTTAAATTTCATTAAAATAATTCTCTGTTGTTGGGTAATCTTTGAATTGTGGCGCTGTTTGTTCGTGTTTTAATTTTGCACATTTCAGGTAATTGCTGGCAACTGGGATATTGCTGAATACAACTGTGATTATCAGTGATATGTGGGTTTTGTTTGAATGGCTGCACATGGGTTAAGAGAAGATACAAACCGAGTTTTGCGAGGTTTTGTGTAAATCCGATGTCTTTTTAACGCCAGGAACGTTCAGATTGAACTGGAGCTCATGCATGTACCATTTTTCTGTGACACACTTGCGTGTAGGCTTCCCCTCGTGAGGTTCAGCCTTCATAAAGGTCCTTATTACATCTCCTGAACATTTTTTCACAACATATGCTCCCCACTATCTCTTGTTTTCTTGGCCTTTCCTTCCACTCCCTCATGTAATGCTTGTTGTTCCCCAGTCATAATTTTTATGTACTTCGAGAAACTGCGTATATTTTCTCAGCCGGTTTGTTGCGTTAACGCATCATATTACAGTAAAAAATTTTTCTGATATTATTTTTGCTGTAATAATTGTTCCACATAAAAAGCGAGATTCTTGCCCACCTTAGAGAGTGTCTGCAATCAGTTTTGATCTTTGATTGCGGCGTTATTGACAGTTGCGCATTGGCAAAATTATGTTTTTTTTTTCCCGACGGTTGTTCATCATTTCTAGAAGATTGGTGTTAGTTTCGGTTGTTGTGTGGCCATCACCATCATCATCGCATTTAATGATTTTTTTTTTTTTTTTGGCTGAAAAATGAGTTAAGATGATTGTTTGACGAAAAACATTTATTGTGAGGAGATTGTTCGGTAAAATTTCGCGCACATTAGCTGTGTGCGCATCAAAAAAATTTTTTCCAAAATACCTGGGCGAGTTGTAAATTCGTAACATGACAATTTTGACCAATACTGCAATATTTGGTGGTGGTGGTAGTGAGTCTATTAGCGATTGTGACGTTCGTTTCGTTTCATCAAACTTACTACGTCTTTGAACGAAATTACTTGGAACAGTTCGAATTCACTGCACAGCCAGCACTCAGCAAATTTTGACCTAGTTCCTTATGCAAATGGCCTTCTAAAAATTACACTTTATTATTAATTTAATTCGAAAATAATATAATCATCGATGAGGGAATGCTGGCTATGACGGTGAGAGCAATGGAACTAAGGACGCTTGGCGTACTCCACCATTGCCATACAAACAATCAGGCTCTCGTCAGGTGAGAAGCATGCCACGCGAAAAAGTAAAATCCGATGGGCAGGGCATGTTGACAACAGGCGGGAAGCGCATGTTAGTGAAATTGGCACTTACGAAAAAGAAAAAAACAACCGCTTAGTTAGACCTGGAGAGGGATGTCATTTACGTTGGAACAAGCCTGTGATTATCGACTGGAATTATACAGCTCCCTACGGTGAAGGACCTACTGACGTAGCTGTGCTCGAAGTGTGGGGTCATTATCAAGAAGATCACTTAACTTGAGGAGCGATATTGATATTCTCGGCGGTCTTGATATTCTTGAAATATCGTTGGTATAGTGCAGATGCGAACAACTCTTTTTTGATCCACCAGCATCGGGGGAGTGATCTGCGTGAGTTCCCATGTTGAACGCTAGACCGTTCTACCCTTGACTTCATGTCCGACAAATGCCATCAGTTACTACACACTTACATAATCGGAGATCGCCGGCCGATCGTTTCCTCCCTACCACAATTTTCGGGTATTTCCGGAAGTATTTCATCTTGGCAACGA